AACTTTTAAAAGTATCAAAATTTTCTTTAAACTTCCATTTTCAATATTAATTTTGTCCTTCTATTCACATAAGTGACAACTTGAGCATTAAATTGCTAGAAAATCAATCTTTTTGTTTTTCATTTTTTCAACTAATAACCTATAAAAAAAGCTCACATTTTTTTATAAGTTGGCATTTTTTTTTTCACATTAGAAAAATGGAAAAAAGAGTAAAGGAAATGATCGTCTTCTTCCTCATTTCCTCTCTCACTCCCTTGCTTTCTTTTCCCCTACCTATGCAAATCCTAACGTTAAAAGCATACTGTCATTGCCTCTTCTCATCACTACTAAGTCAGCAAGTTGAGACTAATCTAATGGGAACTTTTTCTCCCTTTAGTCTTTTAAGTCCAAAATCCTAGTAGAAGACAAATGACTCAATTATCTTTATCTCTTTCATCCCCTCCTCGGCAACTCTCCATGCATACTTTATTCATTTAACTTTAATAGACTTAATTTTTAATTTGAAGCATTCAAATTTAATTATTTATTTTTAAAGATATTATTTAATGTTTTTATTCTTATTTTACATTTATTTAAAAAGATAATTACAACTTTATTAAATAAAAATATTTATTTAAATATTGATTAATTAGGGATAAATATGAAAATATATCATCATTAATCACTAATTAATCATATTTATCCCTAATTAATCACTACTTAAATAAGCCTTCTCACTTAATACTTTCTCCCTTCAACTTAGCCGACCTAATTTTTCTGTCCAATAAAATGATGATGTAATAATTTATTAATAAAGTTTCATATTTATTCCTAATTTAATCACTACTTAAATACGTCTTTTGATTCAATATATGTTGCAATTATATTTTTAAAATACTAGTAAAATAAGAATAAAAATGTTAGATGATTTCCTAAAAATGAAAAATGAATAATTAAATTTAACTGCCTCACATTAAAAATTACATCTACTAAAATTGAAAGGAGGAAGTAGTATATATTGTAATTATGTTTTTAAAATACGGATAAAATAGAAACAATTGTATTAAATAACTTCCTAATGAAAAAAAGATAATTAAATTTAACCTATTCAGGTTATAAATTAGATTTATTAAAATTGATAAGATAGAGTATTTTAAAGATACAAAAGTTCATCTCCACATTAACAAGCGCCAATAATTTGACATGTGGCATAATGGATAAAATTAATGTTAAACTTTTTATATTTTCAAAATAATTAATTACTAAAAGTCAATTACTAGATAATAAATGTTTGCTTATCTTATGCCTAAAAAGTAAGATGCATTATTAAAAGAGTTTGTTTAATTTATATCTTAAACGCATAAATTAAGAGTATAATTATTATATTTTTTTACATTAATTATTATTAAAAAATACAAAAGCTATTATTGATTTTATTACTAGTATTACATGAATTATTTTAATTAAATAATTATTTAAATAAAGATTATTTTTTATTTTT